GTATAGGTAGGTAGGTATGTATAGGTAGGTAGGTAGGTAGATAGGTAGGTAGGTAGGTATGTATAGGTAGGTAGGTAGGTAGGTGGATAGGTAGGTAGGTATAAGTAGGCATAGGTAGGTAGGTAAGTAGGCAAGTAGGTAGGTAGTTATAGGTAGGCATAGGTAGGTAGGTAAGTAGGTAAGTAGGTAAGTAGGCAAGTAGGTAGGTAGTTATAGGTAGGCATAGGTAGGTAGGTAGATAGGTAGGTAGGCAGGTAGGTAGGTAGGTTAGAAAGTAGGTAGGTGGGTCGTTAAGTGGGTAGGTATAGGTAAGAAAGTATATTAAAGGGTGGGTAAGTAAGAAGGTAGGAGGTTAGGCAAGTAGTTGGGAGGTAGGTCGTTGGGTAGTTTTGGGAGAGGCAGCCAGCCAGCTAGGCAGGAAGCTCGAAGGAGGCAGGAAGCTCGAAGGAGGCAGGAAGCCCGAAGGAGGCAAGGAGGGAGGCGGATAATGAGATTATAAGTTAAAGAGGTGTTTAGACAGACAGGCAAACAAGTATTTAACAACGACCTGTTCTGTTTTAGTGGAGGCAACAGCAAAGTCTCTAAGTAAACTAAAGAAGATCGTAAAAAAAATGACTTTGAAGCCCAATCCGGCAAACGGCCTCTGCGTTGGATTGAAAGATTAAAGAAAGATTGGAAAGACAAGAGCAGCGAAGAAAGGACGAATAGAGCCAAAGCGCTAATAGAAGTCGTAAACAACATAGCCTCTATTTCTAATGCGAGGGACAACCACGAGAATGCATTTAGATCAGTGTTAAAGCTAATCACTTCAATAGGAGCAGTAACACCCGGGCCACATACACAGCTGGTTGGCATAGCAGCGATGTTTATTTCAAGTTTTCTAGATCTGTTTGGTCATTCCAAGAAAAAACCCCGGTCTGTTCGTGCCATCGTGAGAGAGGAAGTAGATGCAGCTTTGAGGGATTTCTATGACAAAACGACTAAAAACGAGATTGATGGAGTCGTTCATACCATTACTACGCTCAAATCGTTTGTTGACCGCATTAGCAAATATAAAGATAGGATGAGTAAATCAGATCTTAACAATCTTAAGTCCAATGTCCCTATTTTTAAAAAAACTCACTACTTGGGAAAACTCCGCGGACAGATAAAAGCTATGATTAAGGAAAACAAGCCTAAGGACGCTAGAAAGTGTTTGGCTTATTTAGAAATTCTTTTGAAACTGGAAACCCTGAGAGATATGTTATTCATCCAATTGGCCTCCTTGTCAACCAGCACCGGAGTATCTAATACCTACTACGAAACGGTTTTTGAAAAACAAGAAAGAATTAAGCCTCTACTTTCTTTTCTGTACGATCGTTCTAAGATGAACTACATAACGACTTACTTTGATAGTCACCAGTATCCCCAAACCAATGCTTACATGCAGCTTATACTAAAGATGCAAAGGCCTGAGAAGTTTCCAGCTCCGAAATACTGTATTTCCAACGGTAACACAGTATTTGACTGGTTTATAAATCAGCGTGCTCATGTCCCTTTGACCCATCCGATATTTGGAACGAGTTTCGAGAGGGTTTGTATATGGAGAATTGTGTCCCACGGACATAATCTCTTTAGCATTGTCAACAAGTATGTCTGTTCGAATGACCCATGGTGCAACGCCTTGCTATCTTACGATGGTGCGAAGCGGTTAGATAAATTGACAGTAGCTACTGTAGAAAAGGAAGACCCAGTGTTGTGGGAAATAAAGCATCTTGGCGGGCATAACTACAGGTAAGACACCCGGCTAGCTCAGTTGGTAAGAGCGTCGGTCTGTTGTGCGGGAGGCCGTGGTTCAAGCCTCGGCCGGACCAACGCTCAGGGTCTTAATTACATTTGCAAATGGCCTTCACGTGGCTCGGATGATCACGTTAATGGCGGTCCCGTCCCTAATTAACTAGAGACGTTAACAGAGGACCACAAGTTTATCAGTTGAATTACTGTCAAGTGTTATCCTCTATAAACAAAGTTAATTTATTTTATAAGGGGTACAGTGGCAACAGTGGCAACTAGCCTGTATAAAAACTTCAATTTTACAACCACCATTCCCCATGGGGGGCTCTTCCGTGAGGTTCCCTCCACACGCACTACCACTACATTCTATATTTACAACATACAACACTCAACTCACATGTTGCTTTTTACGGAGGGAGGAGACCGGAGGTCCCAGAGAAAACCCTCGTGGCAAGGGAGAGAACAACACAACAAACAAACTCAACCCACATATTATCCAGTCTGAGCCAGGGCTCGAACCCGGACCACAGTGGTGAGAGGTAAACCACTACGCCACCCATAGTATATCCATACTCTTTTAGTTTCGGACACTCTATCAATTGTTAGTGGCCCTCGGCTTCGCCTCCGCCTGGTATACAGTCAATAGACCCTTTTCGAATTCCAAATTACCGCTGTGTTTCTTGATTACGGACTCATTCGCACAGGGCTAGCCTCGAGTTTGTGCAGAATATTCACGTGTTCCAGTCAAGGTCCGTCAAGTTTCAAAGTGTTCGTATTCATTGAACTTGTGCATTCTTTACTTTACCATTGGTATTTGTGAATATTTAAACACTGATACGAGGCTAACCCTGTGTAAATGAGTCTGTAATCAAGGAACACAGCGGTTTTTTCGAATTCGAAACTGGTCTATTCAAAAAACGTTGTCGTCGACCAACTCAAGCCTACGCGACTGCACCGAAAGGAACTCTGGGTAGCAATCATTGAAGCAGAGTTGACTCCATAATTTTATCTGACTAGTTATGCCTGGTTTAAGTTTACAGCACGAACCTTCGTAGGCGAGCGGGAAGTGTTGAAGGAGACGTTTTTTAAATGCCTTCATATTTTCAAAATTGTGAACTGAATCATAACTACTTTGTTTTTCTTTCCCTAAACCCGAAGACATGCATTTAATGGATTTTTTCTCGCCATTATTATCTTATTACTAGCGGGAACAATTAATTCAGAACGAATATTTAACCGCTTCAGTGATTTTTACCCATATTCCTTTCGGTCCAGTCGCGTAGGCTTGAGCCGGTCGACGACAACGTCTTTTGAATTGACTGTATCTCATAACTACCTCGGCAATGGTATATAACCTTTACTTGCCACAATTACGTGATGTGTAATGTAGTGCGTTTCGGGTATCAGTTTATTCAATTGAATGTAAAATTTATTTTTAAAAATGTTGTCTTCTAGAATAATGCCAAAATCTTTTTGTGGTAAAAAATGTGGCCAAGCACTGGGATATTCAAGGCATCGTATCCTTACRCATTATGTATTTGCCATGCCTATCCTAGTACCTCAATATGCATACAGAACGGTAGGCTGCCTTGGTTGCCCATCAAACATTTGGAAAATTTACGAGGTAAGTAAAAGATTCTTTCATTGATTCTTAATTGGCATTAATATATTTTCATAAAGACTATAATGATAAAGAGAAGACGACGATAATGATTAGGATAATATTGACAGTGGTGCGACAGGGCAGAAAAACGATAAGCCCGATACTTTCAAGATTTTTTTTTATTTAACTGAGTTTACAGTGCGACTACTCCAACCAAAGCCACCTCGACAAATTTTCTACAAATTAGCCAATCAAAAGTAGGAATCTGAACAATAGAATTGCTACAAATGGGACAAATATCCATGGGTTTACACGGCTTAGAAGACTGCCGACACCTTTGTTGTCCGGAATATAAACGTGATGTCGCATAGCAACATAGTGATAAGATCTAACAGTGTCAGCCTGATAATATCTTTGTCTGGAAGAAACAAACTGTGATCATAAAGACTGTGTTTTATACGGTCTCTAATTTGCTTTCCTGTCGTATTTGAAGTCGTACATTACTATTTTTCTATATTTTTGGTGACACAAATAACTAATTTGCGAAGAAAATATATTACAAGCTCTTCTTCATCATTTAATTTTACCAACCGGAACAACGGAAGAATATTTAAATTCAAAATTTGCCGCTTATCTATTGTCTAAATACTCAAACACTATTGGATAATTTGTGGAAAATTTGTCGAGGTGGCTTTGGTTGGAGTAGTCGCACTGTAATACTCCAAATTTTTAAGCGTTTCATTTGTGTCACTGCTGCTCGAAACTTGTGATGAAATTTTGTCAAATTAGAGTAAATATCAAGACTTAGTATTCACGAAAATGTCAGTTTTTCTGCTGATCAAAATATCACCTCTCCCAAAGTACACTTATATCTCAAAAACGCACTCAATAAATTTTGGTCGCATTTGATATTTTACTATTTGGCTCCAAAAGAACGTGTTTATGAAATATTAAGCTTAAATACTTAAGAGGCAATGTCCACAAGAATCGAACAAATTCAAGAATTCGTGGCAAAGGTCAAAAAATCAAATTCGCTCTTCTTTTGAAATTAGATAGGCCATTATTAGATATGAATCACTGGGTAGTTGGTTTTCGAAAATTTTATTTTATTTTCGAGAAAACGGCCACAGAAGAGGTTCGACCGAAACCCAAGCAAGAGACGCTCAAGAGGAGTGAAAATGGACAAATTTTGAACAGAGCGCGCGTAAAAAATAAACCATCTATGACAATTTTTGAACTTTCTTCTTAATGTATCACCGTATTTTTCGTTCATTGGACCGGATTTCAAGCTTATTGGGAAAGGGACGAATTTTTGGCGAGGGAAAATAGGAGGCCTGTGTTTACATATGCTAATTAGTTGTTAACTATGGGCAAGTTCTCTGATTGAAATAACATTTATGCTTCAAGTTGAGGAAGAATAGACCTTTTCAAAACTTTAAAGATTGATTTGGGGAAATTAATTCTGACTGCATAGAAACCTGTTGAATTTGGTTGAAATACATGCGAAAATCACGCTTCTCCAATCAACGCAGGACTAAGGATTTTCGTAAAGATTGTCATGAAATTTACCCTGAAAACTAGGAAATTAATGTTTGTGCCGTTGTTTGAAAGTTCA